CGTAAATTCGAGTATAACGAAATTTTTTCGCTTATTAATCCCTCGAGGGCACACTGAATTTTCAAAAACTTCTACTCTCCTACTACGTTACAGCTTCTTCTACCTTATTAATCTAGAAACATTTATAAATTCGTACAAAATTACTAAAAATTGTGCATACGTATAGCACACATGATATCACGAAAGTGAATCTTTAACCCATCAAGATCCACTTCAGTGATATTTATATTACGTTTACCTACGTATAATTTTTAGTAAATTTAGTAAATACATGTATGTATGTCTTATTTAACTTACATGTTTCGATCATATAAGTCACGTATTAATTAATATATTTATAGGTAGAAACACAGTACAAAGAGTTTCAGCCTACCTGGTTTAAAAATAAATATAAAGTATACAGTTTATTGATTTCTGCGTTTTGTTTAAATTTCTCGATTACGAAATAAATATCCCTGCAGACTTTTGGGGGTGTGCCGCCAGACTCGCGAATTTCTCCAAAGGAATATCGCGTGGCTCGCGGTGGCGGATAATTATTTCGCTCGTTGCCACAGGTTGGATCAGTTAATTCGTGCAAACGTTTGACCTTGCCAGGCTTGAAGCTGCGATTGTATCGGCGGCTGGATGACGTTATCAGAAAAATCCCGCGTTATCAGGCCCCTCCCCCCCTCTCTCTCTCTCTCTTTATCGGGCCGAATTTCTCGGGGAAAGCGATCCTCGTGAAATTCCGGGCGCAACGTTCCGCGCGTGCATTTTTCAAATGCCGGCGTTATTAAATGTCCGATATCGGGCCACCACCAATCGGTGACATAGCACCGGGGGTGAAACGCGGGCGCACGCGCGCCTCGCCTGTTAAATAGTTCATGTCAAGAATTTTTTTTAGAGGGAAAATGTGTCGGCGGGCTGACGGTTGTGTACGACGCGTTTCGCGTTAATGCCGAAGGTGCACCGAGGGCTGCGCGTCGCCAATTCCCCCATGGTCGAACTCGTTTTAATCCTCGGCCGTGAAACCGGTGGAAATCACGAGCGGGAAACAGACAACGCCGGATTTATGCGTTTACGCGGCGAATACGTACGTGCGTTCCATTTGTGTGTGCAACCTGATTCCCGTCAAATCCCTCGCCACGGCGATTCGAACGTTCTCTGGACGTTCGTCTCCTTTCAATTGTCGCGTGAACTATTACTATAACTAGAATTGGATCGTATGTCACTTGGAACCGAGACAGAAACTTGGAGATTTTCAATCCTTTCCGTCGGTGCGTTACAAATGCACGCGCTGATCGAATCATTTCCCGAGTCCGTTAATTCATTAGTTAATTGAAATAGAATTTTGTTTGAACTTCCTGATAATATTTTAACAAGGGCCTGAATTGTTTTTTTTTTTCGAGGAAACTTTAACTTTTCAAACAAAAATCTAACATTAAATTTCTAAGAGCTTAACAGTTATACTTGTAGCCTAGTTGTGTCTTTTTCGAATTACAATGGATTAAGAAAGACTTTTTTTAACACAATAATTTCTTATCGTATAAATATTCCACTGTTGAATTTTTCTCCAATTTTCTGGTAACATTTTTGACAAAAACCTGGAATATATATATATATTTTTAAACAAATTTTTCAAACAAAGATCTAATCTTAAATTTCTAAGAGCTTAACTTAATTGCAATAGATAAAAAAAGATTTTTTTATCACAACAATTTCTTATCCTATAAATATTCCACTGTCGAACAGAAAAAAAATAGAAGAAGCTCGTCTCGATGGTTAAAGTATTATGTATTTTTAATATGTGATTACTCCAATACGTCAATAGATGCTATATATACTCGCTCGTAATGAAAGTGTTAATCGTGAATGTTGTTTGTTGGTGACAAATAAATCTGCAGTTTTACTTAATGAGAGAAGAAATTTTTATCTGTCATTCAAGATATTGCACGTTTACAGGAAACAAATTTGATGATCAAATAGAATTTATTCAAAGATCATTCGAACAATGTCCGATTCGTCTAGTTGTTTCTTTGTAACTTTTTTTCTACTGTCGAAAATATCAAAGTATGTAGAATGCTTTTGCGTCGGTTAATTTTTTTTTTGTTCTCAGAATAGAAATGTATAATGAAAAAATTTGATCTATCAAAGCTTCAAACTTATTTAAGCTTATTGGACAACTGAAATTCCCGATATAACTTGGCAAATTCTATTTCGAATAATGAACGAAGTCTCAAGATTTATTGGGAAACTGATCAGCGGATAACGGTTTTAATTTCGGCGAAAAATCATTCACTAGTCATGAATAAATCTGTATCCGTTATTCGAGGAATATTCATTTGTTATTCGAAGTAACTTTCCTCTGAATAAATTTCTGAAATAGATGAAATACTCTTGTGTATTCAAAATCATCATTCATTGATAAAGAAGGATTTTAGTATCCATTGAATTACATGAGTCACTTTAAAATCACACTGATCAATTCTAGAATTATTGATCAAGCGCGATATTTTCCAATGCATTTTACTTTACACTCTAAAATTGGAAAATAACGACGCAAGCACTATTTTCTTAAATTCACCTTATTTTCTAAAACTGGATAACGATGGTGGTGCAAGTATCATTCATTAGAAATTTATCTTTCAATTTATTATTACTCGCATCATCTTGCGATAAGGAAATTTACAAAAGTGAGTCATTAATTTTCTGAAAATTGAATTAATTATAATATCACGTAATATCGAATTTCCAATATTTTTTCGAAAAATTGGCAATATTTAAACTATTATAATTTCGTAACAGGAAATCATACAGCAACGAATCTTAGTCCGTTATAAAACGTGCAGCTTCTACTTTTATAATCCTTCACAAAAATGTTTTCATAACGTGTGGTATGTGAGAAAGTAAGAGACATTATTTTTCCTTGCTGTTAAAATGCCATTAATTCGAACGTCTCTCAAAACTGAAAAAATGAAAAATCCTTTGCCATCACTGTGTGCCACGATGGATTTGAAAATTGCAGTTTTCCCTTTACAATGACGCCCTAAAACCTGCTGTACAATTTCTCTTCGCCAAACTATTGAACGTTGAATATATCCGTCGGCAAGAAGTCGTAGAATTTCTTCAATTTTTCTTAATGTTCAATAATTCAGCGAAACAGAATCGTACCGTAACGATTTCCGTCTTCGAAAATTCATGGCGCACTCGGTCATGAAAGAAAAAAAAATGTTTCAATATTTTGAATTCATAGCATTTTATCCCCACATATATATGATATAAAAATATTTCTGTGAAAAAGCAATTCAGGATTGTAAGAAAAGAAGAAGAAATTCATCGTCGTATGAAATAGCTTTTTGGTCACGAAATAGCAGTTTAAATATAATAATTTAAATAAAATAACAATTTAAATACAATACAGTTTAAATACCGTCGGAACATTGGCAATTTAATGTAAGTTTGTGTGCGAACCTGCGCGTACGAAATCGTCAAACTGAATAGAAAAATAGAGCCGATTGTGTCGACAATGTAAATTACAACGGGCTGCGTAATCACGTTGATTTTATCGCGGCGTGCGGTGGCGATCGGCCAGAACAATGGCCAGAAGTGGAACGGTCTCGGGGCATAAATTCGACGGAGCGAAGTCGCCTTGTAACGGCACCGGGAAATCCATGTAATACCCCGAGAATCTGATCGTTGGGCTGCGAAATTACGTAAACGGTAATTTGAGAAGGCAGAACTATCGCTAGGAAATTCCAGTGTCAGCTGTTCCAGCTTCCTGTCCTTCGAATCTCTCTTTCTCTCTGTCTCTCTCGATAATCTCATCCAAATGACTTTTCATCGATTAACATTCACCTCTTTTTCTTTTTATCTTCCAATCTTCGTAACGAAAGATTCCAGCGAGATTTTATTCGAATCTTGTGAAAGAGATGCTCCCAATCGAAACGGGTGATTCTTCCTTTGGAGCGTGTCTCCCAACGAAATTTTCGTTTTTTCCGTGGCGAAACGAAATTACTACGAGCTGGGAGAATAATCGAAGAAAAATGTGCGACAAATTTAGTAAGAAACCGACCATTACCTATATTCGAATATACTGGAAACGTATTTAAAAACTATTCAGAGCAAATGCAAACAAGTCGAAAAAATTACAACCGATCGAGCTCATTCTACCTCGACGAAATTATTTTGTACAATGTTTGAAACAACAATCAAGAAGTGAATAGCAAAGACGAATCCACTGATAGTAGTAACGAAGATATACCATCTCATATCGAAGCATTTCTTTTGGAAACAGGACTTAGATGGTTTGAAAAATCCCAAAACGAATGTAACGCATACATGATGAAAAATCGTCGTTATATAAACTAATTGATTGACACCGTTAATTGAATAGATGGCTATCTTTGTACATAGATGACACAAAGTGTTTCCCTTTTCTTCAACAAAATTAAAACTTATCGAAACATGCGAATCCCAAATTTCTTTGCCAGTCTATATTGCAGTTAATTCAGCGCTTGTCGTGAAACACGTTTCTGTCTGCCAATTAATATTTTTACAACGAAGGTATCGACAATTCTTCGTCATTATGCTCCTCTTATCGTATCTATTTAGGGAACCCGCGGCGAAACAGATAGCGGCAACAGACCGCGAGCTATTGATTTCGGATTGCGGCCAGCGCTGGTGGCTTTTGTCGGCAAGATTATAACGCGAACGAACGCGTGAACCTTGATCCCGGCCATGCCGGCTGGAACAGCGTTTCTCAAACTGCCTTTGCAACCTTTCATTCCCGGCATTCCCCGGCCGAAGAGTGGTCATCGATGCGTTTAGGGATGCTCGCGAGCTTTCCAGCTAAATGGTATAACACCGGAGTGCAAACTGTAATTCCCATTATCGCTAATTCAATTGCCTGGTGTACGTATATACTTCAACCCATACATACTTCCCACGCCCACTGACAACGAGCGTTTCACCTCTACCTGCAATTTCTGCCTTGTTT